AAAAGAAAAATTCCCCAGGGATCACCAAAAACAAAAGAGAAAAAGATATCTTTTCATCTAAAGAAAAAGCCAATGTGCATAAAAAGGCGCACATATGTAAAAACCAATTCGCGAAAAAGAAATTCAAATCGCGAGGAAAAGATAAAAACCCATTCCCCAGCAGGAATAAGAGCATAGGCAAAGCCAGCTCAAACAACAGCAGCCAATAAGGAGTCAAAAACTCCATTCCTCCCTAGGGGGCAATTCAAAATAGATCCCCAGGAAATAACCAAATCCCTGGTGGATCATCAAAAAGAAAAATCCCCAGCGGGCCTACCAGCAAAAGGCAAAATACAAATTCATATCCTTAGGGAGTTAATCGCCCATAACACCCAATATTAATATCCCCAGTGAAAGGCAAAACCTTCACTCCCAAGAATGCCTATGCCTACTCAGAGGCAAGCAAAGAGCCGATATCCCCAAGAAATGGGAAATCAACCTATGCAAGAGGCAATACAAGCACGAAGCTTTCAAAAAAGCATCTGCCTACTCAAAGGTATTATCAAGAACAAATATCCTCAAGTCGAATATCAGCTTATTCAGAGGCAAAAAATAACAAGTAAAAAAGCCTTCACCACTATTGAAGCATCTGCCTAATCAAGAGGCACAACCAACAAAAATCAACAAATCCCCAGTGGATTCCCGCCTAAATAAGAGACAACCACAAAAAGAATCCCCGGCAAAGACCGGATGGCTAAACAGAAAAGCCAAAAACAAATCATCCCCGGCAAGACCGGATGGCTAAACAGAAAAGCAAAAAATCAGAAAGCCCCGGCAAAGCCGGATGGCTATACGAAAAAGCCAAAAAAACAAAGAATCCCCGGTAAAACCGGATGACTAACAGAAAAGTCAAAAAGTCAAATCAAATATTCCCCACGGAATGGGCGCATGAACAGAAACAATAAGTCGCCAACACATATCCAAAACCAGATGACCACAGGATTGACTATCAAAAAGTCATCCTAAAAGCCTTGCAGAACGGGGCTTATTCAGAACCTTGCGAACGGGGTTCGGACCAGGTGGGGGTAGGTACCCATCGAGCCTTGCAGAACCGGGTTCGGACTGGGTGGGGGTAGGTACCCATTAGAGCCTTGTAGAACGGGGTTCGGACCGGGTGGGGGTAGGTACCCATCGAGCCTTGCAGAATGGGGTTCGGACCAGGTGGGGGTAGGTACCCATCAGAGCCTTGCAGAACGGGGTTCGGACCAGGTGGGGGTAGGTACCCATCAGAGCCTTGCAGAACGGGGCTCGGACCTGTCGCCGCCTCCCCAAAAGAGGGGGCGCGGTCGGAGCGACGCGATGGTTTTTCGACTCTTTTTCACGTTTTTTATTGGTGGTTACAACGTCCTTAGGTTGTCCGATAACCGGGCTAACCTAGAGACGAGGTTTTCGAAAAGTGTCCTTGAGTTGCCCGATAACCGGCTAACCCAAGGACTTATTTATTTTGGGTTCTATGGAGTCGCCACCGATGTTTTTACCGAAACATCGGAAAAGGGGTTTAAAAGGCGTTGAGTTTTCGAAAACCAACTTTGGTCATTAGAACCAGTAGTTGGGTAAGGGAGTTGGTTACGTGTAAAGGGAGTATTAGTCCCTTTACGACGCCCCTTTCGGGTTCCCTATGACAGCCGGCTTATTTTATTGATAAACTAGAGAAATACACTTTCGCCCTTTTTATTCTCGTGAATTTAAAAGTATGACTACATGGCCCTATTATCTATTGCATAATTTAAAATAAAGACAGTAAAAGTGAAGGGAGAGAATTTGAACCTCCGAAGCGCGCTTTATATTAATTCTCTAAAAAAATAGGGTGCTTTATGGCAGCCCTTCACTCTACAAGGCATCTGAAAACCTCTCGAACGCCGAAAAATCACTCTTGAAAGCACTCGTAAACTCCGAAATGCGTCTGAGGGATTCTAGAGAGAGGTTTTAGAGAGAAGGGAGAGCTATGCAGCTCGTGGTGTGTGGAAATGAGGGGGGAGAGCCCCTATTTATAGGTTTTCGCGCCGTCGGTGGCGAGACCGCCGGTCTCGCTCGACGAGGTCGAGACCGCCGTCTCGCTCAACGAGACCGCCGTCTCGTCCTATCAAAACAACGAGACCGCCGTCTGGTTACATGAGACCGTCGTCTCGTCTTTCGTAGGTGACGAGACGGCCGTCTCGTTAAACGAGACGGCGGTCTCGACTCCTACGCGAGGCGAAACGGCGGTCTGGGTTGCCCAGAACGCGGTCTCATTCCCTCAAAGCGAGAAAACTTATTTTTTGGTACAGAAACTCCCTCCTACCCTAGTATGGGGCCTAATAGTCTCTCCTAATGGCTTGTTAGGCTTGTCCATCTTCAAATAGGAGGTCTTCTCGGTCTTTATTTGGAGGCCGGGCAAGATTTGGGGTCTATAGCTGCCCCCTTTACCCGTCCAGCCGATCGTTGGCCTTCTCGTGTCGGACGATCGACCGGGGGTAAAGGAGTTGACCCTCTTGCTCCGGCTGCCCTTCGTACGTCCCGTCTTGCGGCGGTTGATCTTCCGGGGAGAACTTTGGTGTACGTGCACTTCGAGATACTACTTCGACGTAGCCGATCCCTTCGGTGAACATGTGGTAAGACCTCGTGAACTCCTTCCGACGGAGCCGATCCTTTGGCCGATGGGTACGGACCCCCCATCGGGGTGGTAGTTGCAGTCCGTTGTGTGGGACCGGTGGTGGTGGCGGCTCATCGTTCGGGTAGCTCATGCGCCGACTCCCTGGGAATGATTTCGTGCTCGTGCACTTCCGTGATACTACTTCGACGTAGCCGATCCCTTCGATGGACACGTGGTAGAACCTCCGGATACTACTCCCGACGTAGCCGATCCTTCGGTTGATGAGTATAAACCCCCATCAGCCGGTAGTTGCAGTCCGTTATGCGGGATCGGATGGGTATGAACCCCCATCGGGTGGTGCAGTCCGTTGTGCGGGACCGGATGGGTATGAACCCCCATCGTGGTGGTACAGTCCGTTGTGCGGGACCGGATGGGTATGAACCCCCCATCAGGGTGGTACAGTCCGTTGTGCGGGACTGGATGGGAATGAGCCCCCCATCAGGGTGGTAGTTGCAGCCCGTTGTGTGGGACCGGATGGGTACGAGCCCCCATCGTGGTGGTACAGTCCGTTGTGCGGATCGGATGGGTACGAGCCCCCCATCGTGGTGGTAATGCGACTTACCGATCCTGCCGAGCGCAGATCGACGCATTCTTCCTGGAGAATGCGTCTTATGTTGAGTTTGACTGCTTTTCGATTTCTTGAATAGTCATCCGGGTCACGCCGGGATTTTGTTGGTGTTCGTCCGACCTTTGTTGATTGCCGGAGATCCTTTGTTTTTGTTCTTTTGGTAGTGATTATCCGATCCTCGCTCGGTTGGTCTGGATGGATCTTGATTTTGTTCAACTCTTGTTCGATCGAAGCTTTGTTGGTTGGTGCAATGGCTTAATCCCGCCTTTTCTCGCGGCTTATCTCTCTTTTCTCGCGATTTAGGATTTTGGCTTTTTCATTGAGCGTATGTCTTTTACTCTTAGTTTTCTTTTTGTTACGCCGACTTTTGGAAAGGGTGGCAAAAAGATGCATGAAATAAAATTTTATTTATTGGGAAAATTTTATTACAACCCTATTTTTGGAGCTACTATCCCTAAGGGCTATCTTCTCGGGCCCGATCCCCGGGGAGGGTAATGCCGGTACATATGGTATCCGAAGTCCTCCATCTCTTGGACTTCATCCCGGTACCTTCGCCGAAAAGTCGCCCAATCCCGGCGCATGCTTTGTTGGTATTGGTACATTTCCCCTAGTCGGGTGTCAAAGGCCTCCCGCCTTTGGGATATTTGCTCCACCGCTTGGGATAGCCGATCATGCCTCTGGGACACCTGTTCTGCCTCACTGGCCATACCGTTGAGCCGCCGGCATAGGTCGTTCATGTGGAGGTGCATGCCAGCCGAAGTCGTCCGTATACCGAGGCGGCCGCCGCCGCCGCCGTTGCCGCTGGGCCTCAGGAGATGTAGGCATTTCCCGCATCACATCCCGGAGTTCCAATGCGAAATCCAGGGTGGGGTGGAGAGCCACTGACTCCTTCACGGATCAGCATTCCCATGCCGACCAAGATTGACCCGCCGATGGACTCGGTCGCAGGTCATGGGCCGCCTCCTCCCGCCAGTGGCACCCAAACCTTTCGCTAAGGGGGTGATGAGGGGAGCGATAAGGACGGCCCCGCAGACTGCTCCCGAAGTCCTTGAGGGCTCTCGTGAAGAAGTACCCGGGTTGCGCGCCGTCTTTGGCTCATGCAAGATAGTATGAAGAGGTCAGGGAGGGATATTTTACCCCGACTCTCTTTCCTCCCGTGTATAGTTCCGCCGCAGCCTTGTGGCGTATGCGGAGTGCCGGGGGAAGCGCAGATCCCCTCATCGCTGTGGGCAGCGTGGTGGCTCCCGTGAGCTCACGCCACATCTCTAAGCAGCGGTAAGGTGGGCGGGCCGTGAGCAGATGGCGTCACGGCACTCCCGGGTCATGGCCTCCTCGGCCGGACGAACCCGATGGCCACATTGAATTCTCTCGAGGGTGGAAGTTTGGTACGCCCACCCATAAAATATGTCACCATCCGAGTGGGCCGTAGGCCCGGATCGTGGAGGGGCTCTCTGAGTAGGAGACGGAAGCTAAGAATTCCAAAGACCGCCTGTGGGTATACATGTGTAGGTGGTGGTTGCAGCAGGAATCCCCACCCAATGTTGTCTAGATGGGCCCGAACATCGTCCTCCCATCCGAACTCTGGCTAGGATGTTAAAATCTAGCTTGAGCATGGGGTGCCACCGGTAGGTCCTGATGTTCTCAAGACGAGCCCGGTGTTGTGGCGCTAACCGAGAAGGATCCCGCGGTGGTGGTGGTGCGGAACTACTAGCACCGCGCAGTGCTCCTTCTCTTTCGGAAGCGCTTCGCCAAACATCTTGACTAGAGGGAGCTTGGGAGTGCAGGAGTTGAGGGAGAGGAGGTTCCGGAGGCAAGGGGAGTTGTGAGGAAGCCCAAAGTCGCGCCCCTATATATAGGGAAAATTTCCGGATCGAGACCGCCGTCCGGGTGGACGAGACGGCGGTCTCGTTTCTCCTCCAGGACGAGACGGCTGGTCCGGTGCAACGAGACGGCGGTCTCGTTGCTCGGCGAAAACGAGACGGCGGTCTCGGTTGGTCCAAACGGCGGTCTCGCTTCGTCTGGAGACCGAGACGGCTGGCTCGGTGCACCGAGACTGGCGGCCTCGCTTTCGTGGAAGAGAAAATTTTTATTTTTTGTATTTTTATTGCTTTTTGTTTATTATTTTGAAAGAAGTAATAGGACCCGGTCTAAAAACATTTTATGCATGCAATGTTTTTATGTCTTGATGTCCTATAATGCCTATTTTGATTAAGTTTTCGAAGGATTTAACCAACGTGTCTTGTTGCGCCGAAAGCCTTCCGATTTGCCGCGTATACTTTTGGCCGTACCATGCCTGACTTCTTGGGACCGAAGGGTAATTTCTTTCTTTCTCTATTTTTCTTTTTCTTTTTTTTCTTTTTTTTTGTAGAGCACTTTCGTCATGTAGTGTCCCTTTTTCCTTGCTTTAGGGATTTCAATCCTCTTGTTGACTATACGCCTCCATATTCCCAAATTAATTATTAGAATATTGTCGTGAGGGTCAAGAGAAAAGAAGCGAAAGGGGGTAAAAATCAATGGTTTGTGTTTTAGAGGGTTGATTTTTATTGATAAGAGTATTTGTAAGAATGGCTAGCTAAGGTTAAGCCTAGGTGTTTAAGCTTTGTCTAAGCAAACATTTTCTCCTTTCTTCTTCTCGTATTTGCGCTCTTTGGTCTCATTTCCATTGCCTTTTAAATGGCTAGCCGATTTCCCTAGATCGCCCTTTGGGTTTTCGAACTAGGATACCGTGTGTTGGCCCTATTTTTGTCTAGGTTCTCTCTCTGTAAAATTTTGGAGGAATCCTAGTGGACCTTTATTTGTAACCCTAACTTTTGCCTAGGCTACCCTTTATTGTTGTTCTGGTATCCCACCGGTTGACCCTATCTTTTGCGTAGCCCCCTTAGTGGGTTTCCTACCGGGTAATTTGCCCTTTTCTTTGGTCTTTGGCTTCTCCGGGCTTTTCTTTGTTTTTTCTTTTGTTGTTATTCTTTTGTTCACGTATTGGCGAAGCGTGACTTTCTTTATGGCTTAAGTGAAGTCTTATTTTTATGTGCTTCTAATCGCCTAACTTGATGATGATAGCAATGATGAAGGTTTGATTATTTGGAGGCGCTTCTTATTCTTCTTTCTTTTATGTTTACTTAGACAGGGGTTATTTATGTGGTCCAATGTAAGTAGAAAGAAGAGAAGCAGATAGAAAGAATCATTCTTTATTAATTAATAAGGGAATATGTGCCCTGAAATGCCCTGGGTCTGGCTCGCTCCGGGGATAATCTCTAACAATCATGGGGTTTACATCCCTTAAACAAAGAAAAAGGTTTCCTAATGACTAGAGTGGCTCTTGACGCTTGCACCCCTCCACTTCGGAAAATCCGCTTGAGTGTGCGGAGGGGAGACTTCCCTTTGCCTTTCCCGCTCTGGTCCTTGAAAGGGTTATATCCTAGGCCGTACTTGTGAGGATTGTCTTTGAATTCGGGGGTTCCCTCGTTCCTTGGGAATCCGCCCCGGCCCTGGCCGTGATGGTAGCCGTGCTTCAACATCATGCGGGCTACCTTTGTATTTCCGGGAAGTCGTTCTATATTGGCAATTTCAAGTGCTTGAAAAGATGTTTCAAGAGCCTCTTCAGCCGCATCCACATAAGGTTGAGTGGACGGTCCACCGATTAGGATATCGTCTTCCGCTTGAACCGTGACCAGCTTGTCACCCACTACGAATTTGACTTTTTGGTGGAGCGTCGAAGGTATTGCCTTAGCGTCATGGATCCAGGGCCTACCGAGGAGACAACTATATGTTGGAGTAATGTCCATTACATGGAAATCGACGTCGAAGATAGTGGGTCCCACTTGGATTGGTAGTTTGATTTCTCCCACCACTTCTCGCTTTGATCCGTCGAAGGCTCGAACGATGGTGCCGCTTGGGCGCAGACGGGTTCCTTGGATAGTCAACTTTTCCAAAGGTGCACTTGGGCATCACATTCAGTGGACGACCCGTTATCCACAAGAACTTTAGCGATGAGGTATTCCTTGCACTTGACCGAGATATGCAAGGGCTTGTTATGCTTTGACCCTTCTAGGGGGAGTTCTTCCTCTCGTGAAGGTGAGGTGATCGTTTGCCGTGATGTGACCAACAATCCTCTCGACCTTTTCTTGGGATATTGTATGGGGTACATGCGCCTCGCTCAAGACCTTCAAGCAGGCGTTTCGGTGTGGTTCCGAGCTCATTATCAAAGATAGCAACGTGATCTTTGCAGTGTACTGCTGAGCCGATCGATAATGGAATACTCACTTTGCCTAATAAACTCGGAGTAATTCCTCTGTCTCCTCCTTGGATTCTTTATTTTCTTTTTCTTCTTCGGCCTTTTTATTTTTTCCTTTATTTTGAAGGACATTTTCTTGTGTGTCCTTGGGGGAGTAGATTCTTCCACTTCTAGTTGTGCCCCCAATGCCGGCTATGTTTGTTATTTCTTCCTTTATTGGTGAAGATTCCCCATATCTCCACTAGTACAGCCTTTATTTGACTCGTAGGGGAAAGGACGTGGCATAAATAGTCGCACCGGCGTCCTTGCCCCCTCTTCTTTATTCTTGAGGACCAACGGCCGAGGTTTATTTCCCTCTTGCGGTGATTCGACCGTTGGGGTGAGCTTTATTAGGAGTGGCTTTCTCTCCATTCTTCCGAGTTGGAGGACGTGTTAGTTAATCCTTCCTTTTTATTATCTTATTTATTAAGCGTGAAGGAGGGAATTTAAAATATGCAAATGAATGCTTATGCATGCAAGTAGACAAGTGTTGAATAAGAAGAAGATTTCATTAATTCATTTGGAAGGTGTACATTCTCTTATTCCAAACTACGAAGCGTCTTTTGGCAAAAACTGAAAAGCCTAAAGAAACCCACAAAGGGTCTTGTTTTCGTTGTAATTCTCTCTCGCTTCCTGGACGTGGTGAGCGAGTGCTTCGCTTTGCTTATGGATCGCTTGGCTCATTTCTTCGCTATATTGTTGGGCCTCCTTGATCTTCGCCTCTCGATGTATGACCAAGGCTTCTAGTTCATCGAGCCTTGCAACATGCTTCTGGTCCTTTTCTTCTAATATTTGGTCATACCGAGCTAGCCCTCTTTTCTCCTTAAGGCGTAGCTCACGAGACCTCGACCGAGTTTTCTCGTTATTCTCTCGCTCTTGGCGGAGATCTAGCCGAGCCTCGGAGGAGTTGTTCGACAACTCTTTGATCGTTTGGGCCTGCCGAGCCGATTCCGCCTCAAGGTGTGCCGACCTAGCGGTTATCTCCCGCAGCTTGGCTATCCGAGCCGGTTCTCGCAGCTTTGGACGCCCTGATAGCCTCGTTCATTAGCGTCGCACATTGGTCCTTGAGGCGTTCTATTTCATGATCCTTTTTCTTGCCCCGCCTTTGTAGACCGTCAATCATGAGGATAGAGGCTTGTTCTTTTTCCTCGAGGGCCCGTATCCGGGCTCCCATTATCTCTACCCTCCGGGTCAAGGCATTGACTTGTGCCTCGCAGCTCTTCGTTGTTGGCAATTGGCGCGGTGTGGTGGATGGTCGGGCCATCTCTCTTCTTCTTCTCCATGCCTCATAGTCACCGGTGACAGCTACCCGAGCTTTTCCTAGCTCTCTGTCTCCCATGTAGACCGGCTTCTCCCATGCTTTCCTTACAGCCGCTGAGTTGGCGATTGTGCATGGGTCTCCAAAGAAGCACAGTCCTCCGAGTTCCCCTTGGGAGATAATAGTTTGAGTCCTCATGAGTTGCCTCATAGCTACTCTAGGTGAGTAGGCTATACAACCCCCGAGTCCTATCAAAGGTACATTCTGGATAGTTCCCACATCCGACGAGAACCGGGCCGGCTCGAACCAAGGGCAGCACCCAAGATATGCCGTTGGCGTCCTTCTGTTCTAACTCATCCCTCCATTCTACAGTCAAGCGTCGTTGGAGGGGGATTTTGGAGAAGCTTCTCAATGGATCGTGGAATATCCCCATGTGACTCGGAGGCATAGAGGTGCGTGATGCTCCACACATAAAGCAATGAAGAGCAAGCAAGTGAGTGTTCTTCCTTGCTTCGACGGCGTAAGTCTACCGAGAGCAAGGTGTCGGCAAGAATAGCAGGCAGTGGGACTCTTCGAATTTACGTCCCAAGCGAAGAAAGCGTCCATGACGGCTTGATCCATCGTGTCGAGGTGGAAGGGGAACGAGATTGTTCCGAAGATTAATAGCGCTGTGGTTTTGTTGAAGGCAACCCACTCGCCCTTTCAACCATGTAGGACAGTGTGGTCTTCTAACATTGTTACTCTCCATCCCCGGGTGTTCCCCTTCTTTATCAGTGGTACTTTGTCTGATACGGTAGATGGATAAGGGCAACGACCGGTGCCGCAGAGTATACGCCTCATGACTGGATATGGACCCCACCGATTTGGGCCATTTCAACATTATTTCATACTCCTCTAAAGTGGGCACCATGTCGAACCGCGGAAATTCAAAGCACCGCAGACCGGAGTTCCAAAAATGAATAAGTACCCCGAGGAAGACTTGGTCGACACCGATCTTCGTGAGGTCTAAAATCCGTCCGTAGGACTTTTCAAAATCGCCGCGACCTCCGGTGGCATCATCGCACTAAGCCGCTCTAGCCTCTCGCATGGCTTCTGAGAATGTCTACCTTCCCCACTTGTCTACTTGTCCCCTCCATTTTCTAAACCAAAATGTATGATTTGATGAAGATGATGTTTATTGTATGTGAGTGTTTATTTTGCTATTTTATCATGTTTTTTCTACATGATGTATGGTATTTGCATATATTTTCTTTTGAAAGAATAAACTATCTATATGAATGTGTTATGAATGCAATATTTTTGGACCAGGTATTATTTATGAACTTTGGAAAAATGGATTTTTATATTGTTATTGTTTCTATTTGTTTATTTTTATTTTATAGCCCTTTATCTCTTCTCGTCGGAGTCGCGTGGCTACTTAGCTTACAAAGAACCCGAAACCAGGCTAGCTAAAAGGCAGATCGTCCGAGATAAAATATGGCTTTATGTGAAAGAATATTTATCGTCCCTTATCTCTTCTCGTCGAACCGCGTGGCTACTTAGCTTACAAAGAACCCGAAACCAGAGCTAGCTAAAAGGCAGACTCGTCCGAGATAAGGGTGTTTATTTGTAAAATATTTTTTTGGTTTTTTGTTTTGTTGTTTGTTTATGCTATGCAACATACAAATGCGACAAACATATGCACACACAATTCGACCATCCCCGAACCGGCGAGATTTCGTTTTTATCACGAGGTAGGGTTTTCCCGCAGAAAAGTGCAT